AAAAAAAAAAAAAAAAAGGCTTTGTCTCATTTCAAGCAGACTAAAATAAAGGTCCTTATCTGTGCGAACAAAACCTGTTTTTGAAAACAGTAAGAAAAATGCTGTTAACTTAAAAGAAAGACCAAATTTTTATAGTTAAGTATGGATAATCTCAGAGATGGATAAAATTATGATATAGATCGCCATTACAATTTCTAAGATGACAAGATACATACACGTACATGTACGCACACACACACATACATCACTATACACTAAGATACTCTGTCCTACAGTAGAACCAATATCATGTACTTTATAGCAGAAGGTCACAACATCTAATAGCAAATGAAGGGAAAATAAATACAAGCAATGATAAGGTACTAATAAACACAGCACTTCAGGCACTAACATACATTACTATTTGACCTTCACCACGACAGTGAAGCAGGCCACACGGTAGGTACATCCCTATCAATGAACAAGGAAATAGTTTCAGAACAGTTAAGTAGCGTGTTAACAATCACTAAGCTCATAAGTAGCAGAACAAGGACTCAACCCAAGTCTTCTTACTCCAAGTGCTGTGTATTTTCCAATGGGCTTAACTATGGAAACATGAGGTAAGCAAAGCTTGAGAACTATGAATTTACACTAGGGAGTACTTAATTAAAACATAACTCAAGACCTGGCTTCATCATATCTTCCGGTTACTGACAGGAACCTGAGAGTTCTCGTCTGTCCGGTATCATCAAGCAACCGGTAAGCTGTGCCAACATGGTACCTACCACAGACTCAGCTTTTGCTAAACAGCCTGAGGGAGCATAATTAAAAACTGTGGTCTCTGCTCTACAGTAAACTATAACCTCGTTGGGGAAACAATTCTAAAGTGAAATTATTCAGAACAATTACGAAGGGTGCATGATGTAGCAACAATAAACGTAGGCTTGGATGAAAACTATGGGGCATCACAGAGCAGTGAGAAGCAACATATGTACAGAGAACAAAAAGATGGATCAGGAAGCTCAGTACTTAAGGAAAAGTAAAATGAAATACAGTACAACATGCAGACATTTAAAAGTATACAAAACGAAGACAGTCATTTTGCAAAAACGCATACTCATATTCATTAAACACAAGGGTCTGGCTGCTATAGAGGGGAGGGGATGAGGTATGAGGATACCAGGAAAAAATAAAGTATAGCTTTCGCTACAGTGCAATATAATGCAGCTATTAAAACTAAAATAATTGAAAAAAAGCTAATATAATTGATCTGTAAAGAAGGTCAAGATATATTTTTAAGTGAGAAAAGCAAGATACAGTATGAAATGTACACTACACCATTTTTAAATGTGTGTGTCTAGACTCTATATATGTACATGTGAAAGCAAGTCTGGAAGAATACACAGAACTAAAACAGTTTGTTGGGATGGGCTGGTGGGGAAAGAAGATTTTCATTTCTGAACTTTTTGATTATTTTATGTTTGCAAAAAGAAAATTTTACGAACTTTGTAGTTAGACAAAACTAGGTTCAAACGCTTTGTGATTTGCGGCAAGTTACTTGACCTCTTTTAGATTATTTATCTATTAAACAGAGGAACTACACCACATACAGCATTATAAAAATTAAAGGAGACAACCAATCCACCAGTCCTAGCACAGTACCTCCCCTCCCCGCATTTCTCTATGTAAAAGAAGGCAATTAAAATACGAATGAGTGGTAGTGACAAGTACAACAGGAATTTGGAGAAGGAAAAAAGATCCAGAAGACTGGAAAAGATCCAGATACAGAAAATTTAAAGAGGGGCTGGGACTTGCACTGTGTTTTAAACAAACAAAAAAAGGCAGAACATTAGTATCGAGTTAGGGGGAACACATTATCAAAATAAAATAAATCATTAGAATAAATATGCAAGAAAGAGAACGAGATCTACAAAGGACACATGCAGCCCAGTGTCTACCACAAAGTACATGCTCAATAAATATCTGCTGAATCAATGGCAAAGAGAGTGCACATTAGAGAATAACAGAAAAAGGTGAGGCTTCTTAGGTAGGGTCGGGCATATTTTAGAGGTCCTTGAAATCAAACAGAGAAGATTAAATTTAATGCAGTTGCCAATACAAGGCTTCTAGAGCTAGAGTTACCTGGCAAAAGTCACATTTTAGGAAGATATGGTCTGGCAGCGGTGCTGCAGTGGTTAAAATGCTTGGCTGCTAACCAAAAGGTCGGCAGTTCCAACCTACCAGCTGCTCTGCAGGAGAAAGATGTGGCAGTCTGCTTCTGTAAAGATTTACAGTCTTGGAAACCCTCTAGGGTGGCTATGAGTCGAAAGTGACTCGACAGCAAAGGGTTAAAGTGGTAATTAGGCTACAGATATAGATACACACAACATATAAAACCTGTTCCAAACCCAGTCCCTCGAGTCAATTCTGACTCATAACGACCCTGTAGGACAGAGTAGAACTGCCCCATAGTGTTTCCAAGGCTGAAAAGCTTTATGTAAGCAAACTGCCACATCTTTCTCCCGAGGAGCAGCTGGTAGGTTTGAATCGCTGGCCTTTCAGTTAGCACCCGAGTGCTTAAGCACCGTGCAATCACGGCTCCTTACACAACGTATAAGACACAACCCATACGACACATATAACAGAATTATTACAGACTGGAAATGAGATGGGAAACTGAACTAAGGTGGAAGCTAAGTGACTAATAAAATACTGGATATGATACCGATAAGCCCTTGTAATTACAATTAGCATTCGTGGCTAAAAATAAAAACATACATAAACTTGGAATGAGTTTCATTTTGAACTCCTTCTCAGCATCATTACAAAGTATAAGTCAATCTACAAGATAACTTACTTGATCCTCTTGAAACAAAATGCCTTTCTGTGCATTTATTCGTTTAAACAGATCCCCTCCTTCACAGTAATCCATCACTATGTACAGAGAGCCATTTTCTACAAAATATAAACATTACATTCCACTTTCACAAATGTATAAAAAGTACTCAAACATCTACTGAAAAGTAGTCACTAAACAAACACATAAATAAAACCATACTCAGAAGAATTAGGTTACAAAGTCAAGATATACTGGTCATACAGAGTGTACCATGGCTTAGGTTAGCAGGCAACTACACCACTGATGATTTTTCTGCAAGAATACGCCATCCAACTGAAGAGCCGTGTGGTCCACACGGACCAAAACATCCCTGGACTACAGAAATGCAAACACATATACCTGATTTCATTCGATAGATACATTTCTTTAAAAGACGTGTATAAAATCATGTTTTCCTACTGATTTTTCAGAGATGGGTTATTTTCAGCTTTTTTTATCCACTTAATTACTTACTACACAAGTGCAATAATAGGTGTTGTGATGAACTCTGGATTCGACAGTGAATAAGACACGCTCTCTACTCTCTTAGGGCTTTCTTTGATTTTACTCCCTTTTTATAGCTGTATATACTCTGTGAATAACCATTAATATGTGACATTGCCCTGTTCACCTTTATCTTTCAGTCCACAGAGAAAAGTACTTCCACACCTCTTCCCACGGGTAGACAGGACTAGGACACTTCTCTCTCTACCCCCTCAAGAAAGGAAAAGTAGCCAATGTCACATCTGACATCTGCTGAATCAATCCTTACTTGTAGGGCTACGGCAGTGAAAAGGCCAGTTTTCCCATTCTCACTTTTACTACCCGTACTCATGGCCTTTATTTCCTTCCTTATTTTCAGCAGTACAAATTTCCTGCACCTTGTGGTAGCGGTCTTGTCATTTGTACTCCTCATTGTCCCCTTTTGATATATTGCTTCTAATGCGCCATGGATTAGGAACCTGTATGGTCAGACTAAGTAAGAATCTGTATGACTCCGTACGACTGCTATGAAAAGAGCATCCAAATATACCACAACATGAGAAAAACAACACACAATGGCAGAAAAAGTACAACCCACTACTTATAAAAAATACATATGCGACCATTTATGCAGTATAAAGTGCAAAAAGCAGAAATCACGTACAGTACGCTATCATTTTTGTGCACTGCTTAATGCTGAGACTATTTCCAGAAGAAAACACAGGATAGTGGTCACAGTGTTCCTGCAGGAAAGGAAAATGGGGGCTCGAAGACAGGAATAACAGGCAAACTGTTCACTGTTCATTGCTTTCCCACTTCAGAATTTTGTACTATGGCACGTATCAAAAGAAAAACAAAACTATCAAGAGACAAAAACAAAACTGAAAGTGTATGTGTGTGACAGACTGAGAGACGGAGATTAAACAGGGCCTGAAAAAGGGAAGAAGAAGCAATCCTAGAAGTAAAATGTTTGAGTTTTAGTACCTGAACTCTATGATGTTTTCTCGGGAAACAAAAAACATTTACCCTTTGGGATAAACTCTTACTTAAAATACAAAGTTAACAGAAAAGTCTTTTCTCCACGAGGGAAGCAGTCATCTCTTTTGCATCCCTTCACTCATATAAACACTAGACTGCCAACTACGTGCCAGACACTCTGCACAAGACGTTAGAGACACAGAAATCTAAGATGTCATACTATCACCAAAGGGCCCACACTCTAATGCAGAAAGACTCTCCAAAAAAAAAAAACAAAAACCACCAACAACAACCTAGAAACTGCTAGAGGTTGGGGTAAAAAGACTGTAAGCCAAGAGACAAAGCCTCAATGCACGTCAGAGAATGATCAAGCGTTTAACAGACAACAGTACTGACCACGTGGCATACGCTCACGCGGCCGTGCGTCAACTGCCGGTGGCTAACTGAACAGCCACTCCCAACTCTCTCCTCCCTTTACCATCTCTCATTCTAGAAAACGAAGAAAGGCCAGATCTTCTACTTCCCAGTCTCTCCTACACTTAGAGCTGGTCATCTGCCCTGTTTTGGCCAGTGAGACGTAGAAGAAATCTGAAGAGGGCTTCTAAGAAAGCATTTGCTTTTTTGACTAAAGGGACAGATTCCAGAGAAGAGCTGCTGGTGCCACCACTTCCCCCTTCTCTCTGCAGACATCTGAGAGCCATCCTGGGATAAGGGGAAAAGCACGAGGATGAAAAGCACACTAAGGATGGCAGAGCAGAGACAGAAAGAGCCTGGATCTTAACACTGCTGCGCTATCCCATATGTCCTGAACTGTTAGAGGGCTGCCTGCTCTTAGCATTCTTGTTAGGTGAAATAAATACCTCACTTAATACTGAGAAGATTTTGTTACCTACAGCCAAAAGCAATCTGAACTTAGCCTCAAAGAAAAGCTTTCTTCAGGTAGATAGAGAAGTTAGATTTTGACAACAATGGGAACAAACAGAATGCCAATAAGATGGTACCAGAAAAAACCAAGCGTGCTGCCGTCGAGTCAATTCCAACTCACAGGGACCCTGTAGGACAGAGCAGAACTGCCCCATAGGGCTTCCAAGGAGCAGCTGGTGGATTTGAACTGCTGACATTCTGGTTAGCAGCCGAGCTCTTAACCACTGTGCCACCAGGGCTCCAATGAAATGGTAAAGCTTCCATTAAAGATGCAAAATCACTTTAGAAACAGTAAGAAATAAAACTCAAACTTAAGAGGAAAAAAAAAAAAACAGAATGTAGGAAAATACAGACAAAAAAATGAAAGTAATTAGAGACAAGATGAAATTAAAGACTGGGAACAGAGAAAATAAAAATACATACCACATATATACACATGCCCAAATATTTTCCCAACAAGGTAAAAAGGATTTGCCTACTTTAACTTACATAGGTGAAATAGACAAGTATCTAATTCTAATACTCAGAATTATAATTTAATTACATATTTACATTTTTAATCACATATATACATACGTATATATTTGGGAATATTATTTTCTCCCACTCTCATGTGTTATGACACAATTTGATCTAAACTCTCCACCTGTATCTTCAATATAAATGTCATTTATTGATTCATCAGTTTTCCACTATACTTGATCTTCATTTCCTTTTAAATTATCTGAGTATATTTTTCAATCTATCCTGTAACTGGAATTTTTTCCCATGCCACAAACCCCCACATGCATAATATTGGGACTTTTAAAAAATCATCATATAAGCTTATCTGTATGATTGTTAAAACCTAATCATACTGCCTTTTCAGGGACTTTTAGGAGGCTTACTTAGAATGGCCTCTAATATATACAACTATGACATCAATATCCAATTTCTTTGATGCCCTTCTTTAAAACTGACTCTATAAGGATCCAAAAGTAACACTCATTGAAGTCTTCTCCCCAAGAACATTTTGTTATTTAATGTATTAGAAAAATTTTGAGTGCAAACCCTGTAATATAAGACACCTTATAAGGGAGAATTAATTTATAAGGTAAGACAACTCTCTGGCAAATAATTTTTGAAATACTTTGCTTTACATTAAGGTATAAATGGATTGAAAAATTAGAATAAAATGAAAACTTTCCTGCAACAGAGAAAAATCAGAATCTGCAGATAGAATATAAAATGTTCCAAGAGAAACAGATTCAGAATTATTAATACTAAGTCATATTCTGGTAAATTTCAGCCCTGAAGAAAGAGTCCTTTGGCATCAAGGAGAGAGAAAGCAAATAATCACCTTCAAGAATGGGAAAAGCATCATACTGGACTCAAAAAGTTTTCCACAGAAACATTCAGTGCCAGAAGACAAAATGGGCTCCTAAGGGGAAACTGATTATCAAAGATACTTATTTATATATACAAGAATCAGTTAAATACTCTCAGAAATGCAAACATTATTGATTGAGAGATAATATAGCACACATAAGCTCTTTATGATTAAAAAAAACTGATAAAATACAGTCAACCAAGAGATCAATTCAGATAACTCAGGAATGGGGACTATAAGGTAAAAAAGAACTAACAGTAGGAATTAAATTTGTTTAAATACAGAACCAAGGGGCCCTGGTAACACGTCAGTTAAGTGCTTGGCTACTCAACAAAAGGTTAGCGCTCCAAACACACCCAGCCCTCTGCAGGAGAAAGATCTGGATCTGCTCGCATAAAGATTACACCCAAGCAGAGGAGAATGAAGAAAATCAAAGATAAAAGGAAAACATCAGCCCAAAGAACTAAAGGGCAACATGAATCACAGCCTCCATCAGCCTGAGCCCAGAAGAACTAGATGTTGCCTGGCTACCACCATTGACCACTCTGCCAGGGCTCTCAACAGAGAGTCCCAGATAGAGTGGGAGAAAAATGTAGAACAAAATGCAAATTCACAAAAAGAAAGACCAGACTTACTGGTCTGACAGAGACTGGAGGAATCCCCAAGACTATGGCCCCCCAGACACCCTGCTACTCAGAACTGAAGTCACTCCCGATCCACACTTTTCAGACAAAGATTAGACAGGCCTATAAAACCAACAATAACACAGGTGAGGAACATGCTTCTTAGTTCAATCAAATCTACAGGACCAAACAGGCAACTCCTGCCCAAAAGCAAGATGAAAAAGCAGGAAGGGACAGGAAAACTGGACGAATGGACACAGGGAACCCAGGGTAGAAATGGGGAGAGTGCTCTGACATTGCAGGGATCGCAACCAATGTCACAAAAAATGTTGTACATAAATTTTTGAATAAGGAACTAACTTGCGCTGTAAACTTTCACCTAAAGCACAATAAAATTATAAAAAAAAGATTACACTCAAGAAAACCCTGTGGGCTGTTCTACTCTGTCACACGGGGCCGCTGAGAGTCAGAAACTGGCTCAAGGGCAGCTAACAACAACAACAAAAACACAGAGAACCAGGGCTAAACAACTGCGGAATTTATGGCTTCAGAATAAAATAAAGAAATAAACGTCATTTCTACATAGATGTGCCGGTTAACAAAACTCAGCGAGGAGGAACTGGAACTAATTTCCTCATCTTTCATGGAAGACATTGAAAAGAGAGTCAAAGTTGATTTTTTTTAAACCAATGCACTTATTTTTAAAAATTGACAGATATAAAAATTTTACATATGTAAATTGTTTTTGATCATTCCAGGGAGTAATTAAGTTATTTGTGTTTTCGAGTTCCCAGAAGGTCCATGGGAAACTGAAAAGAAATCCAAAGGGCTACATGGAATAAAATGAGAAGATTCATCAGGTAAGGCACAAATAGGGACTAGACCAAAGATACAGAATCACTAAATAAAGTTACACTAAGAAATTTGAGAACGTATTTATAAGGCAGCGTTGGAAGCTTGTGGGACGTAGGAACTCTCATTCCCTTTAACCTAACGATTCCACTCCTGTGGAGATACTGCTGAAATACACAGACACCTGTATGCGGACATAGGGTAAAACATTATCTGTAACAGCGGAAAACTAAAAACAACCTAAGCGTCCACAACAGAAAACTGGCTGTCAACAAACTGTGACAAAGCCATCCAACGCATACTATGAGATACGCTGCAGCTACAAAACTGTCGTAAAAAATGACGTGCGTAATACGTAAGACACAGAAAGCTGTCCATGAGACGTAAGCGAGAAGTGAAAAGAACAAAATGTAAAAATACGTGAGTGATCCCACCTGCTTTTAAATTTAAAAAGTTACATGTATATGTTCCTTGTAGAAAGGCATAGAATATACAGTAACAGATAAACGTCAAATCGTTAACAATGCTTCTCCCTAGGGAGTGCGAACGAAGGTGCAATAGGAGGGAACAGGAAACTGAACTTTTAGCTCATGATGTCTGCATTTTCCATGGAGCTGGTGGCACAGTGGTTAAGAGCTATGGCGTGCTACAGCTGCTAATCAAAAAGGTCAGCAGTTCAAATCCACCAGCCGCTCCTTGGAAACGCTATGGGGCAGTTCTCCTCTGTCCTATGGGGTCACTGTGAGTCCGAATCGACTCCATGGCAACAGGTTTGTTTGTTTTGGTACTTCCTACGTTTATCATATATTTCTTTAAAATTAAGTAGCAGTAATAATAAACCTTTATTAAAAGAACGTGCCACCTCTTTTGAATCATTCAGACATTTCTACGTTCAGTTTTAAGTACAGCATTGAACACAAATTCAAATCTGTTGGGATATTGGTCAACATGCATCCAAAACCTTTTAACCTGATGTATTAAAACCTTGGTGATGGAAACAAAAAGAAACTAAGGAATAGATACTAGGGGAGAGATAAATAAAGGGAATTCAAAGTCCTGGGGTGGGAGAGTTATTTAGAATTGTACTCTATTAGATGAGGTATAAATCCTCATTTCACTGCCAACATAAAAATACACTGAGTACCTTATAACGTAATTCCTTAAATATGTGTGTGTGGGGGGCGGGGGGTGTAAGTGTATTCTACTTTAGCAGACACTGAATTCATCTGGGAACAAAGACACTCTAGCTCTAATTCAGGCTCGGAAACTGATCTGCGATGTGACCCTGAAACAGTCATTTAAACTATCTCCTACTTTCAGTCTAGATGACCTTTCTGCTTTGTAAGTTATAGAGATTTATGATAATTATTGGGTTGATATTTGGATAAGACCTCAATAAACCACTCTGACCTGCTTTAGAGAAGCTTGGCTCATCTTAGTCCCTACGTTACCAAATACAATGGTAGATATATCCAAAGAAAGCACTTAAAGCATCTCCAGAACTTGAGAACATTTTCAGTACACCTCACAATACAATAAGGAGGTACAGGGGCACGTAATGGGCAGGATACTTTCTGAAGGTCAGAACATTTTCTCAGTCTGACAGCACTTGGAGTTTAAAAAGATGTAAACTGCTTTTCTTGCTTTGTCCCCAGTGCTTTTACTTCCCACAAGGCTTCTTTTTAAGCAAGCACAGTGCCAGTGAGCTGGTGATAAACTACACTGGGGCAGAGTGGTGCCAGTATTATCCTAGAATCAAGCTGATACCCATAGCATATGATATTGAAGCAAAAGTGATATTCTTTTCTTCCTGAGAATATATTCATATCATATGGCTTAAGAGCTTAAGACTTCTTCTGAACTCTTGCAAAATTTATCTGACCTTCCCAGAGTAAGGCTCCCGGACACACTTTTAACTCAGTACTGAAGTCACTCCTGAGGTTCGCCCTTCCACCAAAGATTAGACAGGTCCATAAAAGAAACAATAATACATGCAGCTCAACCATGTATATGAGACTAAATGGGCACACCAGCCCAGGGGCAAGGACAAGAAGGTAGAAGGGGACAGGAAAGCTGGTAATTGGGAACCCAAGGTCGAGAAGGGGAGAGTGTTGATAATGCTGTAGGGTTGGGAACCAATGTCACAAAACAATATGTGGATTAACTGTTTAATGAGAAATTAATTTGCTCTGTAAACTTTCACCTAAAGTACAATAAAAAAATAAATGAATAAAAAATTTATCTGACCTTCAAATGATTCTCTATACTGGACAACATTTGGATGCTTCATGTTTGCCAACACTGCAACTTCTCTCCTGGATTCGTCCCTTTCTCTACTGGACATCTTAAATGGGAGGAAAAAGATTAAACGAAGCAATCAACAAACAACTTAAACTCCATCAACAAGGGAGTGGTTACGTAAACAAGCAGAACCCAAACAACAAAATGAAACAAGAAGTTGGAAAGAATGAATTGAGTCTACAAATATAAACATTTTAAGATGTCCAAACTAGATTAAGTTATATAACAGTAGGTATTATATTTTTGCAAACCCAGGTACACAAGCACACATCATAGAAAAAATCTGAAAGGATATACAGACTAATCTGAAATTAGTGTTCTCTCTGGGATTATGGTGATCTTTCACTTTAGGTTACACATAGCTGTAATTTTTTTTTTTTTACAGTGAGCTCTAATTGTAACCAGACTATCTATTGCTTGCATAATCAAAAGAAAAATATGAATCAAAACAGCTCAGTATGATGATAAGGGAAAAAAAATCACAGAAGAGAGAAAGCATATCCAAAAAAAAAAATGAAAACTTACTCTTGAGATGTTAATTTCCTTGATAACATATTGTCTACCATCTTCTTTAGACTTAACAAGAATGGCTTTTCCAAAGGAACCTTCTCCAATCTTCTGTATTCTGACATACTTCTCCATGGTTCTTACTCTAAGGCATCCTTACAGATGTGCTGGATACAAAAAGATAACAATTAAATAAAGTGTGTCTTTTATTAGAATGCTATAACAGAAGAGCATGTTTAATTCTAATTCCTAAGTGATTTGCTAACTTTAAAAATTTTTTAAAAGGATATTTAAATCTTTACTAAAAGTTAAGCTTTATCTCAATTTTACTCATGTAACTTAGTTAACGCTTAAAAAAGGAAACCAAACAGGGTAACAACTCAGTTTTATAAGAATGCTTTGGAAAGCCAAATACTGTGTACTCAATGAATACATAGAAAGAAGCGAACTTTTTCTCACATGAATTAATTAGTAGCTAGTATTTACTATCTCCCATAAGAATGCAAGCTTAATAAGACACTATTTCCCAAACTTCTTTAAATAATCCTCTATTAGATATTCAAATTGCTTACAATGTTTGCTATTATAAAACAACTTCAGAAAAAAATTTCTGTACATATATTTTTTTATGTACTTATATTATAAGGATTTCCTTAGGATTAATTCCAAGTTCAGAAGACATGCACGTTAAAGCTTTTCAAACATACTGTTTAACTGTCCAATAGAAATGTCTATATTCTTACCAGCAGCATAACAAGGGCCTGCTTCTAGGGGCCCTTATTAACACTGGTTATACTTCATTACAATCTCTGAGAGGTAATAAAGGGTAGGAGTTAAAGAGAACTGAAACTTCAGGGTCAAAGACCCTGGGTTTAAATCCTGGCTTCATCACATATTTGTTACATGATCTTGGGCATGTTACTCATCATTTTCTGCCTCACTTTGTCAGAATCGACTTGACTGCAATGGGTTTGATTTGGTTTGGGGTTTTGTTCACCTGTAAAATAACGGTAACAATGGCACATTGGGTGAGTTAATCTAAGTAATGTACTAAGAACGGTGCTGGCACATGATGAGTTCTGTGTCACTACTTGTTGTTCTTGTTATTCACTGTGTTTCATGGGAGAAAACGTCTTATTTTGATCTCAATTTATTTTGATTTCCAGTGAGTTTGAAATTTTTTTTCACATTTATTGAACATCTGTATTTCTTCTCTTTTGAACAATTCATCCATATTCTTTGCCCATTTTCTAGTCTTCTCTTTTATTAATTTGTAAAAGCTCCTTATGTAACAAAGGTCTTAGCCCTTATTTGTTGAAAATACTGTATTTTTTCCACACATGCCATTTGCCTTTCAATTTTATTTAAATATAAAAGTTTATTTTGATGTGAACAAATTTATCATCGTTTTCTTTATATTTCTGCCTTTGGTATCAGACTTAGACTTCTCCCGTATCAAAATAATTAAGGTAATAAGTCTCTTTGGCAATAGTGATTTCAGGAGCGAAGCCAGAGCACAACAGGCTAGGTAATGAGAGCTAAAAAAACAAAGAGGCAGGGAGATTAAGGAGGGAGGATCACAAAGGCCAATCATGACTCTTGGCAAGATCACCCTTACTGTGGGGATCCATGGATTCACTACACTAGCCTGAAACTCATGAACATCTCATTCACCCAACCCTTGTTTTCTATTTACATTCACAGAGAGCTGGCTTCCAATGTATGATTCTCTTCTAGGGGAAAAGGGGCTTGTCCTGAAGACTATATTAAAATTCCTGTGACAGTTTACCATATTTCTCATTGTAAACTGGTAAATCTATCTTCTCATTTCACCCATCAATACTTAATGCATTAAGACGTTGCCTCTAACAAAAGGATTTAATCTCCTAAATGACAAAATTCAAATTCGGGGCCTGAAAGAACGAAGGCCAAAACCCAGCCTGGGTTGAGGGGATGATGGGATGATGGGATGATGAGATCTTGAGAGAATGGTGCCCTATGAAATATGTTTGGGAAGAGTTTTCCTCACCTTGGAAAATACTATAACCAATTTCTACTTCAAAATTTCTGTAGGAAATGAGAATGCTTCCAGTGACTTTAAGAGAATATAAGCAGCAGGAGTTAAAGGAGAAAAGTCATTCCAAACACGTTTTCAAGTCCAAGTTTTGTCGGCCTACCTGGGCACCAGCCAGAATTTAATTTCTCCAGGACATGAAACTACAGTATATTACATTACTATGCTACACAGAAAAAAAAAATCAGGAAAAAGTCATCTTAGAAAACTAAATTTCATAAATTTAATTACATTATATAATAACCCATAACGAGATTACTTCACAATCATCATTATTTAGTGACTTTTTGCCAAGAGACAAAAACAAAATTAGTCAATTTGGCCCTGCCTCAAAATTTAGTTGCCAATTCCTTTCTAGAAACCACACCAACAAGATGGAAGCTCCAAGAGTCCCTGGTATTCATTCTAGCGCCTACCACATCACTGAGCATTGCTGAGAAAGACGGCTCTAAATACCATCCAGCTACAACTGCAGACACCCTTCTGAACGATGAAAGACATGTGATAGGTGGCTTTCCGTAGAGTCAATATACGCCAGAGGAAGTGAAAGGGAAAACATGAAAAGATGGATTATTTTCATTGTCTTACAACATACTTAATAGAGCTATTTATTTCCTAGTTGTGAGACTTCTCAACTGAGTTATATCTTACAAGATTTTCTTAAACCAGATAAAATAAAACAGCAAAATGTACTATAGGTTTACATATCCAAAATCATTCTAACATGTAACTGAAGGAACACAAGAATCACATCATTGTAATAAACTCAAGTTATAAATAAATTTTTGCCTTTTCTATGCTTCAGCTTCCAACATCAAATGAAAATCACAATACCAACTTGACTCACTCCACAGGATTCTTAAAGTCTCTAAGAAGTATATCGATTTAATCTTTATAATACATACATGATGTTGAAGACATTCAAACATAAAATCAAAGATGTTTTGATACTTGGGCTTTGCAAGGAGTCATGTAACATAACAAATAAAGCAATGGATTGAGAATCAAGAGAAAAGACCAGCTGTGTGACAAAAAGCAAACCTCCTGACGTCTCTGGGCTTCAGTTTCTTCTAAAAACACTAAAGAGTTAAACATAATGCTATCTGAAGAACCCTACTAACTCTAATAGCCTATGGCTCAAAGAGAAGAAAATAAGAGCAAGGAGGTCAGAAAATAAGAAACTTCAACACTGTTTAGAGTTCTCCAATTGCCACAGAAAGTGGGAATAACAGAAATATGACCAAAGCCTTTCCATCAGAAAAATAAAAAGAAGCAATAACTTATTTCTTTAGCCTAATTCTTTAAAAATTCACAAAGTAACCTGCAACTTACAATTAAATACCGCAGATGAAACACACACATTTAATTCCACTCCCTCCCCAAATCCAACATAACTTTAAAGAGAGCCACTAGTAACAAAATTTCAGAAGCTGGCAAACACAAGAACAAGCACCAGGTGACTCAGGAGACTAGAGAAACCGCAACCTAAGTCAGCAACAGGGGGAAAAAAGTCCAGAAACAAGTCAATATCCATCACAGAATAGCTCAGTAGTTGGTAGCGTAGGTGCCACTGAAAGCGGAAATAATATTTCAGCTAAAAATAGGAGAACTGGTTGAAAGTCTGTGTAAGAAGCAGTTAAACCCTCAGTTTGCTTTATCCGTCCCTCCTACTCAGGCAACTGTCCCTCTCCCATCTTAGAAAACTAGACAAGCCTCTAGACCGGGGATACCAGGCCCAATTCAGATGGGAATTCTATAGAAAACTTAGGAGATTAAGTCAAAGTCTACATAATAAACGGTGGGACTCTCCATTTCAACCATGATGGTGTAGCTCATATCAGACCAACGCACCTCCAAAAACAATTAAAAGAGCTGGAAAACAACAAAACAAAACAGGAATTGAGGGGCTTCAATGATTGAAAATAGGGAAAACGCTGACTTCCACATTCACCCTAGCTTTTTTCCTTAACACATTTTCCAAACTGTAACACAGCAGAACGGAGCTCAAGCAGAAAGCAGTGGTCTTACTGGGCTGAGAGAGAGGTCAGAGGTCAGGGTTGACACTATCCTGATGAAGAGGAAACAGAATAGAAAGAGTCCAAAATGCTACATATAAATTCCACTCCTGTCAACTGGCCCATTCCTACACTGTACATGCACAAGGCAATATTGAGACCGACTGGCCCTAACAAAGCCTAAAACCAACCGTTGATAGGATCAAAGTTATCCACTGGTACTCCAACAACCTACTGGAACAAAACTTACCAATTTTTAGAAGATACATGTTTGAGCCTCCATGAATTTTAATTCACAATGTCCAGCATCCAATAAAAAGTTACAAGGTATATTAAAAAAAAAAAAAAAAAAAAAAAAGGAACAAACCACCAAAATCCAGAAGAAAAATCGTAATAGAAAAAGATGCAAACGACTCAGATATGCAGCTAATCAGTAGGGCACTTTTATGGGCTGACTTGCGTCCCCTAGAAAGATATGTTGAAGTTCTAACTCCCAGTACTTGTGAATGTGACCTCATTTGAAAACAGTCTTTGTAGATATAATTAGTTAACATGAGGTCATACTGGAGTAGGATGGGCGCTGATCAGAATATGGTGGAAATACAATGTTGTACAAGTATTAAGGAAAATAATTTGGCAACATCTACCAAAATTAAAACATACAAACACTTAGATCCATCAATTCCATTTCTAAGAATTTAACCAATAAATACTTCCAAATGTACAAAAATGATTCATGTACAAGGCCATCCTCTGCAACACTGCAATGACAAAACTTAAATGTCATAAATAAGACAAAGAGAAAGAGGCAATTTGTATATTGATATGGATTAATTTCTAAGATATGGTGTTAAGATGATTTTTTTAAAAAAGGACCAGAATAATAAATATGGCATACTACCATTTATGTATTAAAAGGAAAAATATATATTTATTTTTTATATACATTCATGTGTGTATGCATATGTATGTACACTACTAAGGGGAGCCCCTAGGGGGCATAAACGGTTAATGTACATGGTTGCTAATTGAAAGATTGGAGATTCAAGCCCACCCAGAGACACTCCAAAGAAAGGCCTGATATTCATTTTCAAAAAAACAGCCACTAAAAGCCCCGTGGAGCACAGTTCTACCCGGATACACACGGGGTCTCTATGAGTGGGAATCAACTGGACGACAACTGGGTAGTTATCAAACTCCTATGGGTGACTTACTATATAAAAACCTGTTTGCTCATTATTAAACTCCTATTGGTGACTTACTATATAAAAACCTGTTTTTACATACAAACACATACATGCAATTCCTTGTATATGTAAATAACACCACTGGAGGGATACACAATAAGCTGGTAATACTGACTGCTTCCAGGGGAGGATACTGAACAGATGAGAGAAAGATTTTTTCCAATCTTCTGTACCTTCTCAATATTGGACCATATGAACATATTATCTCTTGAAAACAACAAATTAAATTAACTGTCAAAAAGAGTAATAAATGCTGATAGAAAGCAGTAAGAGAACCCTAGCTAAATCAATTCGTCTGGTTAAAATCCTTGAACAGTTCTCTGTTTCCAAACTCCTCACCTTGACATTCAAGGCTTTTCTACATGGTATCGCTCTACTTTTCAAGTATGTCAACTACGCTCTGGAAAAAATATCCTAGTCAAATTAGACATTTTTCCTCACGTTTTACTAAGAATTTCTTTAAAGCCATAAGCAAGCAATGTCTGACATACTAAAAATTTTGTGCATCAGATATGAAAAATGTCAGAGTACATAAATCAAAAACTGTAGCCCCACAAATCTGAAACACTTGCTGATAGCATGAAGCCCTCATTAGCTGTTTCAGATATTTGATGGACAGGTTATCCTGAAAAAAAAAAAAACACTGATAAAGGAAGATCAAGAGAGTCAAGAAGTCCTTATGGCACTGTCTGCAGCTACAATCAATACATACAGTTCTCTCCAAACTATAAATACTATTATAAACCGCGGTAGAGTGTACATTTATCTTCTTGCTGCTGTATCTCATTGTCGTTGTTGTTAGGTGCCATCCCGTCAGTTCTGACTCACAGTGACCCCACGTACAACAGAACGAAACACTGCCCGGTCCTGCACCATCCTCACAATCATTGCTATGTTTAAGCCCATTGTTGCAGCCACTGTGTCAATCTGTTTCATTCAGGGTCTTCCTCTTTTGCGCCGACCCTCTACTTTAACAAGCATGATGTCCTTCTCCAGGGACTGGTCCCTCCTGATAGCATGCGCAAAGTATGTGAGACGAAGTCTCACCATCCTTGCTTCTAAGGATCATTCTGGCTGTACTTCTTCCGAGACAGATTTGTTCGTTCTTCTGGCAGTCCACGGTATATTCAATATTCTTCGCCAACACCATAATTCAAATGCATCAATTCTTCTTCAGTCTTCCTTATTCATTGTCCAACTTTCACATGCATATGAGGTGATTATGGCTTGGGTCAAGCACATCTTAGTCCTCAAAGTGACATCTTCGATTTTGAACACTTAAAAGAGGTCTTTTGCAGCAGATTTGCCCAATGCAATATGTCGTCTGATGTCTTGACTGCTGTTTCCACGGGCACTGACTGTGGATCCAAGGTAAAAGGAAATCCTTGACAACTTCAATCTTTTCTCCGTCTATCAGGATGTTGCTTACTGGTCCAGCTGTGAGGATATTTGTTTTCTTTACGTTGAAGTGTAATCATTACTCATTTCGGGAAAATGTAGAAAGTAAAAATGGGATTCCTATTAGAATTTTTTAAAACTATTTCTTCTCTCTAAATTCATTCAGACAACAACGGCTTCTGTAGTGGAAACTACCAACATGTAAATTAAAAACGTATATTCATGAGAAGGTGTCATGTTCACTACTTAGATTATAAGACAGAAGATGAGATAGACTAAAATTTACTTGGAATAGAATGTCAATGTATTATTAACCTGACCTCAAAAGAACTCCTGAAGCCAAGTTTCATGAACTTTACTAAACTCCAAACCGTGACTCTTACGGTACAAAAACCTGTTTTCCCATAAAACAGGGTCCTTACTTTTCACCTAGGACAATGGGCAATTTTAAATGAAACAGATCCCTAGATCTCTTCAATACCAGACAAATCCAAACTAGAAACAAAGGACTATTTCTCTATCTGGCTCCCTTCCATCATCTCTACATGACAAGAAAAGGCCATATTAGCTTATACTGAATATTACTTTTAATCCTTCACAAACCTTTCTAATGGTACTTACCAAAGCAACAAAAAATTCTTCTTCTTGAGACAGATCTTACATTAGAGAATAAGAAACAGGCCTATAAGCAAAAAGAAATAATGAGCTATGAAGAATTCTGAAAGTAGTATAACTTTTAATGCCTTATACTCAGAAATTGTGTAAAATCATTAAAACTGAAATTTAAGATTTTAGAGCCACCAGTTACTTGCTACCTCACTTTTCCCCCTCCTAATTAAAATCAGAGACAACTAATTTGAGAGACAACCAACATTTAAGCAATTTAAATGATCCCTTATCCATACCAAAACTTCTATTATTATAACTCCATTATCAATATAGCTTTTAAAATAATGTCAGATGATGGCTTCGTAATGCATACTATTCCTTAGAGAATTGTAATGAGACGAAGGTATTTCCCATGCAAACACTTAAGGTGAGAACTCGTTCGATTTCTATATCAACACGGTCTTTCTTCTCATTTCCAATATGATTTCACTATTCTGCATGCCACTGCTTCCCCCCAAGTGCAACTCACCTCAATGACACAGGGCTTTAGCAGGAATAACGGTGATGATCGATCAGCATTGCTCTAGGTGTGGCAGTCTTCCCATACGACTTAATAAGACAGAGGCATCATCCCGCATTTCGAAAATGACACCTTGAAAGAGGTCTACCCAGCAGCAGCTCACAGCCCAGAAAAGGGGGACTGGGAGACTCCCACACCTGACATCAGCCGTTGGCTGACACTCGGGCTTGACAACGTCCTGCCTCGGGCAACGCCCTGTGAGGCAGCTCCAGACTATCCCGATAAAACAAACTGCTTTCTGAGCCCCTTGGAAACAGAAGACGGCTGCGGGGGGAGTGACTCCGTCACCGCAACTCCAACTTCACAGACGTGGTTGCTAGCGGCCTCGGCGGGGTGGGAGGGAGGGCAGCATTTGAGCCAAGGAGGCTACCTGCCTGCGGCGTCCTCCAGCCCCGCAACCCCGGCTCTACAATCCCGGCTATGCGGTGGACCGACGCGGGGAAAGTGCTCGCGACTCCGAGCTGACGACTCCGCACGCCAGCGCACCAGAAGCCGGGAGAGGAGAGGCGGGAGAGCGGTCAGCACGGCACTGGCGCCGGCGTGTGACGTCGACTCACGAAGGCGGCGAGTCTGTGGGGTGCCCTGGAAACGGCAGTGAGGTGGGGCGGAGCCTCCGGTGGACGGGGCGGAGCCTCAGGCGCGGGGAGGGGCGGAGCCGTCGGGGGCGGGGCGGAGCCATAGGGGGCGGGGCGCCGCGGGGTGGAGCCCCAGTGGATGGGGCGGAGCCTCCGGTGGACGAGGCGGAGCCTCCAGAGCCGTCGGGGGCGGGAAGCGCAGGGTGGAGCCCCCAGTGGATGGGGTGGGGCCTCCTGTGGGCGGGGCGGAGCCTCCTGTGGGCGGGGCGGAGCCTCCTGTAGGCGGGGCGGAGCCTCCGGGGGCGGGGCGGAGCCCACGCGAGCCGTTACCGGCGCTCTGCAGACCTGAGAAGCCGCCAGGGAAGGAAAGAGGATGTGCGAGAAGTTGGAAAAAGAGAGGAGGATAAAGATGGAAGAGGTAAGCTAGCGATGAGGGCGAGGCGAAAGCTCACTAATAGAAGCCGACTTGAAATACAGCGTGTTATAAAATTGTCCCCCACACACCACTCAGAAAAAGGGACTCTCTATCAAGTAAAAGAAAAAAACCTTAATAGCATACAACTTAGGATGCCACACTTTTAAAAAATAGTTTTGCCTATAAAGCTAGGTTTTTTTCTAGTATAGTTTGGATGGTTAAAGCAAGGGGTTATTTTTGAACCTTGAAATTCAAAAAAATTGAAAGACGTAATGTGGTTTCCTATGCCTTAAATCTAATATGTGTACATATACATTTCTTGCCTGTATATTGAAGTGTTTGGCACTGTATAGCATTCTAAGTCCCTTTCTTCACTGAAGGTTTTCCGGAGATAGGGCCAGATTCCCCTGAAGCTGTAATAAGGGATCAAATCTGGTGTTGTCCTAATAGCCCACAGCTAGGTTGCCTTACACGGAGTAACTCCGAGACACTCTGGGGAATCCAGACGTCAAGCTGAAGGAGGACAATGGCTTTGTATGCTACTTTAGTTGCACTCCGTATTATACCATTTATACGAGTGTTGTATATAGCCAGGTTGGAAAGACCACAGATTGTGCCAGAGACCTCAGAGCTGAAATGATTCAGATCTGTGCTTCAAAGAAATCCACCCTTTCTCCCCCCACCTCCTTTCCCCAACACCCTACACACCCAAGGCCAGCTTTAGGTTCTCCCGCCTAGGTCTTTCGTTTAGCATGGAAATTGAAAGACTTGGCTTTTTTTTTTTTTTGCCAGAAGATGGCACTGCAAGTTATCCAACCTGGCCAACTGGAGAAAGTCTGCCTTGGCTTATGCACTCCATGCTGCTACAAAACGTCTGTTTCCCTCCTTCCTCTAACTTTTAGGCTAACCTCCTGTGCGCTCGCCCACCCCCAGTTAGTAGGAATTTTGATGTCTGAATACGCAACAACTCTAGCTCTACCCCCTTTCCTTTGTAAGCAAAGCAGCCGGAAAACGTTCCCAATTGCTAACCTAAGCAAATTCATTTTTGCTGCTCGCGTGAAGAACAACTGGTCAGAAATCTCCTTAGATCTCCTTAGATAATTCTTTAGGTTCCTATCATAACTGTTAATGAGTATATAAACTGCTACAGCCTTTCTAGAAAGCATGCGTATGCTTTGACTCATAATTTCACTTTTACAAGTGGTTAAAGATGTATATACGAGGATAACCATTGTTTACAGCAGGAAAATGACAATGTAAATGTCTAACGATAAGAAATTGATTAAATTAATTATAGCGTATCCAAACAATGGAATAATCTGGAGCCATTTGAAAGGGTGATTGGGATCTATTTTGTTGACATAGGTGCCTTTGATATATTGTTGAATACTGGGTTAACAGTATTAATTGATGCTTTCATTTTGCAGCTTACATGCCTTCGTACAGTTTAATGTTTTTTTCTTTTTACAACAAGAATGGTTCTCTGTATCTTTCATTCTTTTTCTTTAAAAAATGCATTGCATTTTTCTTTTGAACAACTACACCAGTCTTTGTTGCTTGCAACACAGTAACATAGGTATACAAAGATGAGGCCTACAGTTTGTGTTCTCTGAACTGAACCCAGCCCTCAACTCCCCCATGAGACCAAATGTTAAGTTTCATGAATATCCATCTACATTTTTCTCTAAGCTCATAAAAACATAAATAAGCATGTGTTCATATATATTACTTTTAATTTTTCAAATGGAATAACAGAATATAAATTATTTTACAAATTGTATTTTTTAATTTAATAATATATTATGGAAATCTCTCCAGAGATCAACTAAATGTTCTAAATGATATTAATATTCCATGGTATGGATGTACCAAAATCTATTCAACCATACCCCCCTCAAAAGACATAGAGAATGTTTGCAATGGTGGTGTTATTTCTGAAGGATAGATTCCTAAAAGTGGGATTGTTGGATCATAAGGTACTTTTTTTTCGCCTTAATAGATACCCCTGTACTTTAGTTATGTATTGCATGTAACAAACCACCCTAAACCTTAGTGACCTAAAACAATAATGATTATTATTTCTCACAATTTCATGGTTAGGCAATCAGGCAGGATTCCTCTGGGTGGTTCTTTGGCTCCATATGGCATTGGCTGGGATCGCTCACTCACTCATGGGATGATCCAAGAAGCTTCACTTACGTGTCTGGTGTCTTGGAGCTCTTCCATATGAACTCTCTCTCTTGGACGCGCTCATAACATTGTAGTCATATCCCTCACTTGACAACTGGCTTCAAATAGGGAAGAAGTAGAAGCTGCCAGTCCTTTTAAAGGGTAGGCCCATAATAGGTATCACTTCTGCCACATCCCTGGCCAAAACAAGTCACAAGTCCAGGCAAGATTTACCGAGAGAGGAGGAACCAATGACAGCCATCTCTGGACACTGTCTACTACATCCTGAATTACTTTTCATAAAAAAATTCACACTGCCAACAGCTTTATACAAAAAATGCCTAGTTCCACTGGTCTCAATGTTTTTCTCTCAAGTCTGTCAATCTGATGTTGCCCTTTTTACATTAGTCATTTGAATTTCCTCCTCTGTGACTTGCCTGCCTTTCATATACTTTGCCTCTTTTCTTTTTATCAGTTTATAGGAGCTATTTGTAAAATACAGAACTTAATCCTTTGTCATATTGTGGGGCAAATGTTTTCTACCAGTCTCTCACTCATATTTTGAGTTGTTTTATGATGTCTTTGGCCATACGGAAATTTGTAAGTTTGTATGTGGTCTTTTCTTTGTCATTTAGGCTTCTAGTCTTACAGATACTTCTTTACCCCAAGTTATCAAAAAACCTAAATGTTCTTATATTTTGATTGTTAAAAATACTTAATGTATTTGAAATTTATTTTTATATATGATTAAATAGGGAGAGTAGCTTTGTATCCTTTTGGAGGAAAGCCAATTATGCCAGCACTGTTAATTAAATGTAACCTTTATCCTATATTAAGGCAATTATTTACTTTTGTATCTATTTCTGCATTTCTCTTCCACTTACCACTTACCTATTAGTCGCTTCATTATTTTGAAAAAAATAAGTTTGTTTTTATAATCAAGAATCCTGTAACAATATTTCCACTTTGAAAAAAATGCCAACACTAAATTAACTTTTAAAAATATAATAGACCTGAGATACTAAAGATGGCTATAAAGTTACACTTATTTGCCTCTTTTCTGGTGTAAACAAAATGAAAATTCCTTAAGCTTTTACTAATAGCTGTAGTATAATATGGCAAGTGGGCAGGAACGAGCAATATTCCTAAAGTGTTCTGCTAGTAGAGATTTTTCAGAAATATATTCTCCCGTTTATTCACAATCAATTGAGCACTATGCTAGATGATGGGGATAGACATATTCAAGGCACTGGTATTGTTATTAGTACTTTCTATAAAGCGTGCAGTAAGCTGAAACAAATTAGAGAGTAACAAATTATTTCAAACAGTTGGTAGTAGAATTACTGAATATTTTCCCTTTGTGAAGTTATTACATAAATGATCATTTTATTATAAGACCAGTGTTTGTATAAAACCTGTTGCTGTTGAGTCAATTTCGACTCATAGCGACCCTGTAGGACAGAGTAGAACTGCCTCATAGGGTTTCCAAGGAGCGCCTGGTGGATTCGAACTGCCGACCTTTGCTTAGCAGCCGTAGCACTTAACCACTAGCGTCTGTATAGGTGTGTATGTATTTGATCAAACTATCCTGACATACAAGCAATCCTTTGTGACTGGAGGAAAGAAGTACCTAAAACCCTAATTGTGAGGAAAAGCATTCTCTTAGAATTTCTCTATAATCCAGATATCTTGCAGACATGTAATATTTAAATCCAAGGGGAAAACTGACAAGTCAGTCTCCTTTCATTTAGGGCTCCATCTTGCTAGATTCTAAGAGAATTTTAGTTCTAAAAATTTTTAGTTTTAACCCACACTCCAGGAAATCTGCTCTATCTAGTCTTAGGTAGCTTGAACTAACCATTAACTATGTGTAACTTGTACTTAAATAACATTGTAGCAGCCTAATAAATTTCTCTATCTTAATTTTGGTAGGTCCAGCTCAATATGCAAAGATAAAACATACCTAGCCAGTTCTTAAGTTTCTCCATTTCTGGAATGGGTTCCCTGCAAGAGCCCATAAAAGAGTCAGCTATCTGAAGAGGGTGATCATCATTTGTTTCTAGGGAGAATGAAACAGAGCATTGACCCTCAGCTGTGCAGAGCCTGAAAAAAGAGTAGTGGCTTGAGACTGAAATGAGGATGTGATTGGCTGAAATACCTTACAGTGTATCAAATTCCACTGACAATTGAACAAGAGTTTGGTAGGAGAAAATTGCATGAAACTGGAAACTGGAAGATTGTTTGCCAT